ATATATATATATAGATATATAGATATATAGATATATATATAGATATATAGATATATAGATATATAGATAATATAACTGTAGCAGTCGGGGGTTAGGCTAAGGCTAAATACAATACTGAAATATGAGAAAAACTACTCGGTTAAATAGCTACAACAGAACATGTGTTCTTATATGATACATTGAAGAAAAGAAATAAAGTTAAAATAAAGTGTTTTTTTTTAAAATAAAAACATTTTAACATTTAAAGTAAAGGGGCTGAAAAAAAAGCTTAAGATTTGATTGAAATATCTACTTTAGTTTTGTTTAAAAAATATATATTCATGTTAGAAAAGAGATACAATAATGTAAAATGTGCTAACCTCATACTGGTAAATATTAAGTCTCTAAAATAAATATTATTGGAATATTACGCAGGGGTTTCATGGCCGTTCATTAGCCACAGAGCGTATCCCGTCCGGATATTTGACCAACGTACAACTGATCCAAAATGGAAGCAGCTGTAGTACAGGAACCCATCCCTACTCAGCCCTCCTGCTACGTGTGCTTCATCATCTCTAGTGCTGCTGCTGTTACGGTGGACTGAGGGGAACACGGTTCATTGATCAATGAAAGAGAGTTTACCTGTGTTGGCGTTGCTGCTGGCAATGAAACTGATGACCAGTGGTAACCGATTGAACTGCACAATCTGTTCAACACAGACACGTTACATTCTGAGAGGTTCATCTTAAAACTCAAGCACTACATACATGTGGATGCTAATAAACTACTTGATCTGAGCACTGCTTTTGATACAGCTGATCACTAAATTATCTACAGTGAGGGGTTACACTGGCCTGCCGGGAGGTTTTTAACTGGTAATCCTCTCATGTTTCTGGCAGAGAGTTCCTTGTTGCAATTGATAACTTTTCAAAATATCCAAAATAACCTGTGGGGTTCACCAAGGAGCGATTTTAGGGCCACATCTTTTTAATCGATATGTTCAAAGTGCAAGACAAAAACCTTTGATATATCTATATTATTGTAATTTTATGAATCACACTTCATTGTATTTAAGCTGTTCTGTTTTATTGTTATTTTTTCATCTACTTTTTATTTCATGCTGTTTTACTACTATTTCTCTTATTATAGCTTTTAATTTTATTTTATTGTATTTTCGTGGTTATTGTCTGGCATGCATGGGTCTCAAATTGCTAAAATTGTTTTAGTCTTTTCAATTTTTTTTCTTTTCTGCACTAACCTTTATGAAAGGTTATGAACAAATACATTTGATCGATCGATAGATGTGTGTAATATGAAGGGTTGTCTATGAAACAAGTTTCATGTTATTTTAGCAATGTTCTGTAAAATGCAAATCAAGGGCACATTTATAAACTTAGTTTTTAACTATTTATAAGCGCTACATTTCTTCATTCTGTGTATTTACAGTTATTTCCCTGAGTTACTGACCATTTATCATTTGATCCTGAACTGTGAAGCACTTTGTGTGCGCTCTAGAGATGAATCACGACCGTCCTCCTGAGACATTACCTGGTAGGTGTCGTAGTAGCAGATGATGCTCTTGTTCTTGGAGAGGCCCAGCTTGCTGCCCTGATCTGTGGCCAGAGCAAACGTGGACAGGAAGCCGGGTCTCAGAGCTTGGACTGGGGCGTGGTCATTGGCAACTGCAGAGGGACACAGAGGCAACGCAACGTTCAACAGCAACCTTCCAGACAGTGACTGCTCACGCCATTCTTTTCAAACAGTGTCGAACATATTTGCAGAATACATTCTCCTCAAGACCAACAGAGGTTTCACGTGTTTTGTTGTTTCCGGCCCTGGAGACCAAAACAACGGTGTCCCACCTATGTTTTCAGACCACGGTCAGGAAGCCGAAGCAAGTTAGTTTGTGTGTTCTGGGCCGGCGGCAACCTCCGGTTCAGACGAGTGAAGCCGATGTGAGAGTGTCTTAAAACTTGCATTCTCTCTACTGATCTGGGTTACTGTAGAAACATGGCGGTCTGCTCTGTACAGAGGACCTGCTCCCTATGTAGTTATAAATGGCTCATTCTAAGGTAACAACTATGCTTATGAGGGTCCTGGGACAGAGGATGTCGTATTTGTATGTGTACAGATTGTAAAGCCCTCTGAGGCTAATTTGCGATTATGGGCTATACAAAATGCATAAATTGAATTGAATTAGTGGAAAATGCATGAAGGAGAGAAAAGGATCCAGTAGATGAGGACCGAAGGCTTCAGAAAAAGGTTTCTTACCTTTGATAACTGGGACACCGTCCCTGTCTGTCACTATGATCGCATGAAGACCTTCAACACTGACGGAGAAGACACAGAACATTTCATCAAATAACTCACACAATATATTCTGATGCTATTCTACCATTAGCATTCATTATACACACCTTTGCAGCTGTTTGTACAGATATCTCTTCAAATCCTGCAAAGATCAAATAAGTAAATAAATAAAAAAAGTCAGACATGAGCGGCATTCAATTAACTGGTTTATTGGCGCGTGCGTGAGGCAGATGTCTCGTGGGAGTGGCCTTTCAGGAACCACGTCGATGAACCAGGAAGTAAACATTTCGATAGCTTCGCCTCTCTCTTTCACAATGTTTTTACGGTTTATTTTTAAAGACTATAAACGGAACAGTTTGCTGTAAAAGTCACTACTCGTTCGCGAGGCTGTGGTTGACATACCGAGGACATATAGCGAGGACCAGAGTGAATGACAGAGTTGGTGGTCGGTATCGATGCCTGTTCAAAAATACTTAGGTCAATAAATCCTTTACAAAACGCTCTTGTTGTCCGTCTTATATTTGTATCATGTATAGTTATTATCTGATGTCCGTGCATTCATACAGCCTGTGAGTGAAACATACTGAGCTCAAACACCGCGTACAGATGACCGTCAGCTGTGATGAACTTGTGATACAACGCTGTTAGGCTATCTCACGTCGCTTATGTTTGTTATGAAAGACATGCATCTTTATCATCATAACTATATTCTACACTGTGCAGCACACATTCACCCAGATTAGACACGACTGGTGACTCTCGTTTTGTTACTAGAGGGACCGAAATTGAATAACTGAACACAGGAGTTAGTGTGTCTGTTGAAACATTACGATGGAGCATTCATTTAGGATTTCGACAGTACCACCAAAACATTATCCATCTTCATTACGAACGCATAACATTCGACATAACAACAGCAGCCCTTCGGTTCTTGTTAAAGTCTGATCACGTCCGACGCTGGAACATTTAAGTGTCTTCTGAACTAACTGGAAGAGGAGTGACAGACAGACAGGCTCTACTCACATCAGCCATGTTAGCCGGTGTTTTGTCACCTTATCCAGGCCGCTCTGTGGGGAGAAAACAGTGTTGGCATATTATTATCTGACAATATGAGGGTCCTTTGAAGTGGATTGAAGCATGCTGACGTGTTAGCTAACAAGATAACTGGTGATGTGTTGCTCTCAAGCCACTTCAATAGATACAGCTAAACTACTAACTGCTTAAGTTAACCTCTTCATGCTAAATTAATTTGAACTTATAATGTAATCGCTAAAACAAGAACATAAATGAAAACATGAAATGGGCTCACATACCTTCTTTGAATCCTTTTGAATAGACTATACCTAATAGCTAGCGTTGTTCCACACTAGACAAGAGGCAAAGACGGGCACGAGCAGAAAATCACATGACAAACTTGTTTTGTTTCCGGGCTCCTGGAGAAGTGTTGAGGAAAGTCAGTACTGCGCAACACTTTTGCCACACAGCGCACTGGCGCAGGATTAAACGCATGACTAGAAGGTGTTGTTGCCCTCAAGCTGCCAGGATGGTGGAGGCTTAGTTGTAGAAAAAGCACCGCTCCAGCTGTTTTAGGTGGGACTACTTTAGAACATATAAACGCAGCATTGAAACCTACTGCATGAGGCAGGCGTACTGCTGGGCTGTGGGATGATTTTAGTATCGTGACTCATTGGTGGAACTCAATCATCCACACTCAAAAACAACTCTTATTGGCAATGAACAAATTCAAATCATAGTATTTTTTAGCACACAACTAATTTAATTATTCTACAAGAAAAAACCCCACAAAAATCATGCATCCCAGTCTTATTTAAAGGTTATTATGGCAAATATATATTTGAACAAAATGTTTTTTTACACTGCATACGACGTGCCCTTTTTTGACAATGCTTGTTTTAAAAGACGAAGGAAAGACAGTGACCTTCTAGGTTTAGTTTAGTTTTAGCTTTTCGTTGGTAATAACAGAATAGAGAGCAGCTGAGCAGTTGTCATAATCCTGAGACCAAATCCAAATATAGGCAACTATTAATAGAACATCTGAACAGACTGGGCAACACCACACTACTCTGTGAGGTGGCTGGGAGGAAGCACTGTACTGTAGACGCAAACAGGTGAGTTCATTGAGAAAAGACAAGCTGTTCATTATCGACACTCAACTATGTTTAGATAGTTTAGTCAGCATAATGGTAAGAATTCAAAGAACATATTTTGACGGTTATATTGCTAATCAGTGGTTGTCAAACTGGGGGACACATGACCAGAGGAGAATATGAGGATTGCAACTTAGGTTGAATAGATGTTTGACACAGCAGACATTTTTGACTTCTGAAATTCAAAAATGTTCACAGTTAAAGCAAATAACATCATCATTTGCTGCATTGCATTGTAAAAAGAAAGAATAAGAAAAGGTCCATGATGAACAAACATGAGTGCGCCGATGCTATCAAGACTAACAAGAATTATTCAGAAAGTAAAACAAAATGTTGGACAGATGTTTGACAAAGAAGACAAGAAAAAGTGATGATGCTCATCAGTCAAAAACCAAATTAGGAAGAAACCTATCTTGTTCTCAATAGTTATACATTACCATTCATTTTTAGGAACCAGACACCAACACTGAACATCTATGTTGTGTTATTGTTTACCTTTCTAAAGGAATGCTTCAGTAGCCTATTACACTGTAGGGACAGCAGCAATAAGGATAAAGAGCATGGATGGGTTATTCATGTAACCAATAAAATATAATAGAACAAATAGCTGTTCAGTGACAACCATGTAACCCATTATAACCGAGAAGTGGTATGTGGCACAGCTCAGTGGTAGAGCAGGGTCGTCCTTCAATCACAGGATCGGCGGTTCGATTCCCAACTCAGCTAGTCCATGCCGATGTGTCCTTGGGCCAGACACTCCATCAGTGTGTGAATGGGTGAATGGTGACATGTACTGTAAAAGCACTGGTTCAAATATTTTCCAGTCAGTGAGCTGATTCACTTGAAGATGATCGACAAGGCACTAATGAAGCATCTCTGTTCTCTCTAATATAGTGGAGTGGTACTTTTTTGGTTTGTGTGTTATTTTGTCTTGACTTTGTTCTTCTGATTAGCATGGGGGACCTTCAGCACTTTGAGCAGGACTTCTACCCGACAGGATATTACATAGATGACCAGGGTCAGACCGTGGCCCACTACGATACCTACGATTCCACAAACCCTGCTTATTATGACACGTAAGTATTCAGACTTTTCAGGATAGCCCTCTTTTGCACTTTTCCACTGTGTGGAACTGGTGGCTGTAACATATCAAGACACATGCTAATGTGGCAACAAATAAGACTGCAAGATTCAACACGTCTGTAGACCTCAAGGATACACACTGTTTTTTTGCGAGAAACCCTGAATGAAAACAGAAACGTTGAGTCTAGTACGTGCTCTGTGGCGAAACGAAGACTCTTCTCATGATCTCATCATGCACAATGAAAAGCATTTTAACCCGCTTCCCAAACTGTGCCTCTTCTTCTTCTGCTTCTTCTCTTTTTTTCCTTTTTTAAGATGTATTTTAGGAATAGTGACCTAAAAGACCTAAAAGATGGAGCGCTGAGATCAATTTACGGGTCACAAGCCGGAGTGAGGAGATGAGGAGACGAGGAGACGAGGAGGCACAACATTGGGAAATAAGAAAGGCCCAAGGGCTTTGCATTGGGGCTGTTGAAAGGCATTTTGGGATATGTAGGAAGGCACTAACCTAAGTAAAAGTAGGTGTGGCAGGTTTTGGAAAGCTTTTGCTGCAAAACATTAGAGGTTTTACACCAAATAAATCCTTTATTGACTTGAACATTACTGATTGATGGCACATATAACCTAGGAAGGACTTGCTGATGGACTTTCCCACCTTGAAAGCACATGCAGAATTATTCTAATATTCCTACTTTTAGATTATTTTAGGGAGGGGTCATATCAATATTTTTTCTTGCAATTGTTTTCAGTGGAGCACAGGCTTTTGTGCCGGGTGCTCTGGATCCCCTCATGGAGCAGCAGTACACTGGACAGTTCTACCAACCTGCAATGCTTTCTGGGACTGTTGGAAGCCCAGGAATAGATTATTCTGAAGAGGAACCGACCCTTCTTGAGGGTAAAAAAAGAATCTGCATTTGAACTAATCTATGTTTTCTTTGGATCTCTATAACTACCTATGTTGTATTAGTTGAAATCTAGCAAACAACTGTCTGTTCATAGAGAGAGATCGAATGTGTTGAATCCAGGACACAGCTGAAGAGTCAACTAATTACTAAAAACAACATTTCTGTTCCTCTTTAGAGCTCGGCATCAATTTTGATCACATCTGGCAGAAAACACTGACCGTGTTGAACCCTTTTAAGCCTGCAGATGGCAGCATTATGAATGAGACTGATCTGACTGGTCCCATCCTCTTCTGCGTTGCTCTGGGGGTCACTTTAATGATGGTGAGCTACTAGCATAGTAATGCCTATCTCTAACAAGTATAATGCCATTACTAGGAATACTACTACAATGTACAGTAGTGTGATTTAACAAGTGCCTGCTTATTTCTTTATTCTCATATATTCAGGCAGGCAAAGCCCACTTTGGTTATGTGTATGGGATCAGCGCTACAGCCTGTATCGGGATGTACATTCTGCTGAGTCTGATGAGTTCTCTGGCAGTGTCTTATGGCTGTGTGGCCAGTGTCCTGGGCTACTGCCTCCTGCCCATGGTAGCCCTCTCTACATTCGCTGTCTTCTTCTCTTTGCAGTAAGTCCATTGAGTGGTCGTGCATTATTGATATACTGTTTCTATTCGTGACTTGTTGGATGTTAAAACTCAAAAGTTGTCATGCATGGAGGGTGGTCGTCAAAGTTGTTGGTGGAAACAGGAAATCTAGCTGTAAGGGTGCTGTGTTGCCCAGCAAAACTGCTGAAGTGCTCTTGAGCAAGGCACATACAGTATCGCTAAGGTGCTGTGAAATGTACAGTTCCGAGATCAAATCTCTAACTTGTGTTAACAAATGCGCAATAGGTTGGATATTGGCTTTTGAAGGACACTCCTGTACTTGTGTTCTTGTGAAATGTCATCGGTCACACACCTGGTTGGTTTGTGTACAACTACCAAAGCTGGCTGTGAACAGGAAAGAGGCTGTGTGTCGCAAACTGCCGTAAAAATATACAATTGAGACGCATATTTCAAATGTGCTGTATCTATGCCCAAAGAATGCTCCAAAAACCCGAATAATATCGCACATCACATTGTCTTAATCTGAAAATGTTTCATTTGGAATAAGGTTTCATTTGGAATATCCCAACGGAATTTGTTGTTTACATGACCCCTATCAAATGTGGAATGTTGTTTTAGATAGTGTGCATGTAAACCTAGTTAGTGCCTGTGTGAAAAATGAATGGGGCTTTTACCTCCGTAAACAGCCACCTGTTACAGCTGCTCCCACTTTAACGCAATGCTTTCAGCTACTGACGCTGATACCGTTTAACAATCAGCCACCACCTTTGTCACCAGCGCCAGCATCCTCACCAATAAGAGAATGAGCATGTTGATGGTGTGTTTTCATTCGGACCGACAAAGAGACGGTCAGATGTCACTAACATGCAGGTATCATGCAGAGTTGAGGTCAGGTTGACTTTCATGCTTCAAATCCCTCTTTTTGTTTTCACAGAGGCGTCCTGGGTACAGTTCTGGCCTTGTTAGGAATTTGTTGGTGTAGTCTCTCTGCCTCCAAGATCTTCATCTCCACTCTGGCTATGGAGGGCCAACAGCTGCTGGTGGCTTACCCGTGTGCCCTGCTCTATGGGCTCTTTGCATTGGTCACTGTATTCTAATAGTCACCAGATTAAACCCGGAGGAATATCTTGATTATTCAAGCAACACTCTTTTTGATTTCTAGCAATACAGTTAAAATGAGGAAATATTTTTCACCCCGGTCTATTTGTGTGCTTAAAGCACTCAAGGGGATTGAAAGGGAATTTAGGAACTTGGTGCTATGATCTTTTCCTATATGTCTTATTGCTTTACAGAGTGTGGGCAGGCTGGTGAAACCGCCATGTAACCTCTTGAGTACTGTTACAAATAAAACTCTACGAACTCTGGACAATCAGACATTGCATTTTCATCACCGTAAACTACTAGAGCATTATCATTTACTGAGCTTTGAGGATTTTAAGTCATTTTCAAATTTGTGCCTGGTTCTGGTTCATACAATTTTAAATGGAGCTTCAGCTCAAGGCTGAATGGTTTCATTTTGTTGTTTTACTTAAAGAAGCTTTATTTAATACTTACATAGCAGATATTTGTCTTATGATCTGAAACAATACCTTAATGCCTTGCATGTCATTCATTCTGTCTCTAAATATTTTGATGAATAAATATATATGTAAAAAGTGTATCTGACATTTCCAGGTCTCAGCTTTCCTTAATACTTCCCGAACAGTTTAGATCCAGCAGCATGCAAATATATATATATAATTATATATATGAATATGTGAACAAAGCAAGGAGAAGCTCAGATATCAACACAGAGAGGGAGAGAGACTTCATTCTCCGCCCAGGTAGACCTTACTCCTTTATATCTTTACATAGACACAAGTTGGTTGCTTCTGTAATCGTGGTCTGAATGTCGTAAATTGCTCCTTTTAAGTAATTTTCCAGAAAATACAATTGCAAATTAATGAGTGTTTCCATACCGTACATAAGGGGTTAGTTCATGGAGATAAACAGCTGGTGGGGCCACTTCTCTAGTTGGCCATCATTAAACTGTTGCAGGAAAAAAAAGCAGACGACATGACGTAATCACAAAAGCAGTAGTGAAACCTCAAACAAAGAAAAAACATGTTGAAAACAAATAACATCAAGACCAATAACATCAAGAAAATAAGTAAAGGTTAAAGTGCTTGGCTCACTAACAAGTTAATTAGTCTTCAAACCACCTCCAAAGGGCAGCCTGACAATTTACACGGTACAGAGAGACAAACAGTTCATCCAGTATCCATGTATTAAATCCTGCTCCAAATCTGTTCCATGTCAGCAGGTCTGTGGATTTCACCATAAGACTGAAAAACAAGCTGGATTATGATGTTTCTCATTTAGAATGATTAATTGATAAGTGTCCACAGTGTGGAGACACCATACATGGAGGTATGGATGGGGGTGCACATAGTAATCTATTTTACATTCTGTTTTGAGAGGATGCAGTTTTGTCTGTAAGTTCATCCAGAGTTCTCAAATACATCAAAGACATTCCCTGTTATTACAGTAGAGGGAGCTACAACATCAGCTTTGCAAAGTTAAAACCATTCTCACTGACTGAATGAGGACACATTTCTCTTTAGTTCTACTGTTGGATTCATGAACTGAGAAAGTTGTAAATGCAACAGAAAGTTGGTTTCATTTCTTGTATTTTAAGCCTTTTCCAACACACTGCTTTGTCATTTTGTTTGCTGCAGAAACACTTCTGTATTAGTCACATTGTCCTGGAGAACAAGCTGTGTGTGTGTGTGTGTGTGTGTGTGAATGAGAAGAGAGGAGGATGTCAACAGTCAAAGTCCACAGAACTGTGGAGCTTTCAGAGGAAGCAAAGGAACTAATTTCTCACACAGCCTCCATGATGTATGAGGGTCCGAGCAGACTCTGACAACTGCAGTCAGTGATGTTCTGCAGACAACTTTCTGTAAGAGCTGGGAGAGCGAGCGGGGGAGGGAGAGGAGGGGCACAAATGTCGACACAATTCGCTGTGATATTAACAACGGGTAACTTCTAAGGATCCCGTTCCAATCAAGCAGGTGGATCCAGTCCCTCAGGTGGTGTTCGAGCTGACAGGGTCGAATACCAAAGGCCATGGTCTCTCTAGGCTCTGTGGTTCTGCTCTGTGTGAGAGACTTTGGAGGCCTCAAGACTGAGCTCCATCACAGAAAGATCATAACACTGCTCCTTCGCTGATGCTGTTTTGCAAAATGTTAATCTTCTTAAAATACCCTTAATGAATTAAAGCCCCTTAGTGTAAATAAAGTTGTTTGGTACGGCAGAAAGAAATCCCTTAATCAGACAGGTTGGTAACAAACCGTGGTTAGTCAAAGCTATTTGAAAAAGAAAACAAAGCTGACCAGTGAAATGATTACTGCAGCGATGCACGACGGTGGTTTGTGGACCTGGATTTACACTGTCATTTCTCTTATATCATTAGAGGGTTGATCTAACCACAAATATCATTTTACAGCTTTAAAAGTGAAATTCAAACAGTTTCAGTAACATCTGTGAACTTCAGTACATGCTGAAATACTTTTTTGCCTTTCGAGGGGACCTCCTTTCAGGCTGTGACCCTCTGATGGCTATAGAGTCTAGAACTTAACCCTGTAACCTAAACCACAACATAATTGGTCGATTCTGCTTGAGGCCTTGCAACAGAGGAAACATGCAACATGCTGGATCCTACATTCACAGTCTGACTCAGAGGAAAAAAGACAGTTAGCTGAAGTGATAGCATAAACAATAGCCAAAGAGTGTGTTTATATTAGTGAGAATACACCCCCGTCCAGAGAGAATATATGTGAGGGAACATGTGTGCATGTTTGACAGACAGAGGAGGGAAAGGGAAGGACAGCCCCGAGGAGCAGGCCCAGACTTTCTTCTCCTGACTGTTTGGACTGGTTAAAGCAAACAAATCCCTCTGGCCAAGCGGTAGGCTGAAGACAAGCGCTCCCCGGGCCCCACGTAACTCTCCTGCTACTTCACACTGAACTCCTCCAGATGATTGATGGGCTCTCTCCTCTCAGAGTCTTGCTCCCGCTAACCTTTCATTCACCAGAACACGGGCTGGCGGGGATCTCCGCTCGGTGACCCATCATTAACCAGAGCACTCCACATCAGCTGCAAGTTCGACCTGCTTAATCTTCAAACGTCTATTCCCTCCAGCAGTCTTATGAAGTGTTCATGTGTCATTTGTGAGGATGCAATATGGATCAGTTATATTTAGAATAAGTTGACTTCCTGCTTCTGACGTTTGGCGGTATTAATATTAATTATCACAAGTAAGTTGGATTTTCACCATGCCCATTCTGAAAAATAAACCACTCAAAAGAAGGAAAGCTGCAAGCCGGACCCTTGCACCCCTCCGCGTGTCGGGGCTGCTGGCGGGACGCTGGTTGTTGCAGCCAGGCCCAATGACACAGGAACTCTGCTACAACAAACGGTTCAAGTGGTTGTGAAGGGGGGCAGTCACCCATGGAACAGGAACTCTCTGCTGAGTGCAATGATGCCTCCTACCAGAGTCTGTGACAAACGGTCCATGAGTTGTGAAAGTGGTTGGGGTTTATATGTAGAGTCTAATGTTATGTAAATGTCCTCAGGCCTACAACAACAACTTCCTGTTGGCGAAAGGCCCTTTTTTGTTACCACGCGTCCTGAACGAATGTATGCTATTTTAGTGTCAATGCACTTATAATTTCAAGATAATACCGACACCAAATACTGCTCTATGTCAATTTGTAACAGATGCCACTGTTGTCCCTGCTTTTATTTTGAAAATAGAAGGAAGGAAGGAAGGATGACCCTTCACTTTCAGGTCAGATTGAACTGGTGACACTTTCCTCTGAGTTTGAGTTTGTTCTCAGGGGACCAGCATGAGAATCCCTATTGCTGGCTCACATGTCACAATCAGAACTGTTTATTGCCAAGTATGTTACACATACACAGAATGTGGCTCACTGAATGGTGCATAACAATAAACACAGTGTAATAGTATGAGACATAATTTAAAAATGGAAAAATATAAAAATTTACAATGAAATATGGTAAACAAACAAACAAATAACAGTACGTTAAAACAAGTATGATCAAAGTGTCAAGTGTATATTAATAGAGAAAAGATGTGCAAGAGTGTGTAACTGTAAGAAATTCTCTTCTCTCTGAAAGTGTCAGAGTCAGTGGGGGTCCCGGGCTTTGTTGATGAACCCAACTGCAGATGAGAAGAAACTGTTTTTGTGGCGAGAGGTCTTGGTCCTGATGGACCACAGCCTCCTACCAGAGGGAAGGGACTCCAACAGTTCATGTCGTAGGTGAGAGGGGTCGGCTACAATCCTTCTTGCTCGCTTCAGGGTCCTTGAAGCGAACAAGTCTTGGAGGGATGGCAGATTGCAGCCAATCACCCTCTCAGCAGAGCGAATGATGCGCTGCAGCCTGCCCTTGTCTTCAGCAGTCTCTATAGCGTACCAGACCGTGATGGAGGAGCAGAGGATGGACTCAACTATGGCAGTGTAGAAGTGCACCATCATTGTCTTTGGCAGGTTGAACTTCTTCAGCTGCCTCAGGAAGTACATCCTCTGCTGAGCCTTCTTGGTGATGGAGCTGATGTTCAGCTCCCACTTGAGGTCCTGGGATATGATGGAGCCCAGGAAGCGGAAAGACTCCACCGCGGTGATCAGGGAGTTACACAGGTTGATAGGTATGGCTGCGTTCTTGCGGCAATCCACAATCATCTCCACTGTCTAGAGCGTTGAGCTCTAAGTTGTTTAGTCCGCACCAGGTCACCAGATGGTAAATCTCCCACCTGTAGGCAGACTTGTCCCCACCAGAGATGAGGACTTTCTTGTGTTTGTTTTAGATTTGTAAATTTGTAATCTGCCAAAGTTTTTCATTAATTTCCTGCTCGTCCTGCTGCTGCTCCAAGCCCCTCCTTATTTTATATGTTCGAATTGTGTTCTTATTCATTGTGCAAAAGCTCTGATTCACAATGACTGTGTAGGGGCGCAAATCCTCGGCAAAAAAGTTGCAATCTACTTTGCCCTCTCTGAGTTGGTTGGAAGAAGAAGAAGAAGCAAAATGCTTCCATACATTAGCTTTTAAACCAGGTGCCGGTCAGATTGTATCCATATTCAGCTGCTCAAGCTCAGCTGCCCTCACCAAAACTCTTTTTAAATCCGTAATATTAATGCTTCTGTGTAAATTTAATATGGCAGGCTGCAGACCTATTAAATGCCATCCTTTTAATTTACCTTTTTTCACCTCTGGGCTTCCCCTGGTGACCTCTGTTTAACGTCCCAGTGCTATGAATTGTGGGGAATTCCCTGAGGCAAAGTGTGCAGAAATGCA